TATATATATATATATATATATATATATATATATATATATATATATATCAAAAAATATTTCCTTGCTGGTACAGAGAGCGGCACAGTGTAATCCCCCATTTCCTCCCCAGGCAGGACAAGGCCAAGCTGCACTGTACTTTTGACAACTTTAATAAATGTAAATTGCTGGGATGAGAGCTAAGGGGCCTCTGGGCACAGACAGATGATGGAGCTATCAAACGAAGTATCTACAGAATATCGGTAGGACACGGAGGTGCTCAGTAGGCAATTGTTTCCCAATGCAACTGAAAAGCAGGAGGCTGCTGTAGCAGCAGTGCTCGCTGTTAGGTGAGAGCTCTGGGTGCAGCTCACTCAAATAGATAGCAGTGCCATACACCTGTTGGGCAGCTGTGCCCTTTGGGAGGGATGGGCTGTGCACCTTCCCCTAGTGCTCACACTGACAGGCAGTGCCTGCAGCCCTGGCTGCACTCTGCTCACATCCTGATTCATTAGCACTGGGAGAATTAAGGAAACGCAGCCCACAGCTCAGGAGCAAAATCCCTCCTGTGACGCTGTGCTTTGGATGGAGCAGGAACAAGCCCAGAATTCCAAAAGCCAAGCAAAAAAAAAGAAAAAAAAAAAAAAAAAAAAAAAAAAAAAAACACACAAAACCCCAATCGATGACCAAGCAGCAAAAGCACCTCGCACACCTTGTGACCATACACACAGCCTAACCGTGCCCCACACTGCAACACGCTGCCCACAGCCCCACACCTTCCCATTGCTGCTGCTCCTCAGCATTACAAAAAGCACAGTTGCTCCAAGCTGCACAAGGTTTCTCTCTCTGAAAAGAGAATGCACCTCTTGGAAACTTTCAGTGCAACTTGGTTGGGTTTTTCTCGGCACCAGGCTATTGAAAAAATAGCAAAAAAAAATGTTAAAAAATTACCAAAAAATTACCAAAAAATTAAGAGGGCAAGAGAAGCTTATTTGGATGCTTTTCTGACAGCTGAGATTAAAAAAAAAAGTCTGAAAAAAAAAATAAAAAAAATAAGAAAGTATGTGTACGCAGTGCACGGCACAGCGAAGAAACACCACTAAGCACAGAAGTTCAGCTTTCAGTTATCGCCATCGTGTAAATACACAGGTTTCGATCTTGAAGCACATTTGATATTTCCTCCAAATGTGCCTTCTGCAGGGCCAAACCATCCAGTTAATGTTTGACGTTTTAACTGAGGTGAAAAATGCAAGCAGTTCCTCAAGGGTCCATTGAAGCCACACGGTTCCCCCCCCCCCCCCCCCCCAGTGTCTCAAAATGAGGAGCATGTCAAATATAAGGAAGGAAAACCTAATTTCCACAGCCCGCGTATCGATATTAGATCGCATACTGCTTTCATTTTAGCCACACCCACCTTTATGTAATTATAAAATATGGAAACGGTGCAGCTCGAGAAATAAGAAAGCCAAAAGGAACGATGGTGCGACAGAGCCCAGCGGGCGCAGGGCACGGGCTTTCATTTCAATGAGAAACGGGAACAAACCGCGGGCTGCGGACCGACGCCGGGCGAGCGGTGTGGAAGAACGCCCCGCACCTGTGCGGCACCGAGCGGGGCAGGACGCCGAGCTCCTGAAAGCGAAAGTCGGTGCCGGTGGGCGGACGGCTGCCGGGTGCCGCCGCTCCTCGAGCCCTCATCCCTGCGGAGAGCGCGGCCCGACGAGGCGGCCCGGCACGCATTCCCATGCTCGCCGCTAAAAACGCTCCCCGAGCCGCGACGCGAATGTACTGTAACGAGTGGCCGCGTCGCGGCAGAGACTCCGAGACTGCGATGCTAGCGAGAGCCCGCCGCGTTTCGCGGCCATCGGGGCAGCGAGGGACAACAGGCGGAGCGGAGCGGCTCTCAACGGGAAAAAGCGGCGCTGGGAAAGTGCGGTGCGCGCCCCGCGCTCGGGGGAGCCGAGCGAAGCGGCTGGGATCCCTGCGTGACACGCGAAATACCTTCAGCCCCGCGACGGAGGGAGGGACGGAGGGAAAAGGGAGAGGCGAACTTTTGCGTTTCGCTTTAAGGCGCCGCCGCCGCGCTCCGCTCCCGCAGCGCTGCCCGCCCCCGGCGCGGGGCGATGCGATGCGCGGGGCCGAGCCCGGCCGCATCCCAGCGGCCCCGAACCGCGGATTGAGAAAGGGTGCGGAGCGGTGGGGGGAGGCGGCGAGATGCGCGGCGGTGTCACGGAGCGCCGTTCGCAGCCGCTCATCGCCTATCGCGATCCGCCGAGGGGTGACATGGAAACAGGCACCAAAAAATAGCAGAGCCAATGACGAACGGCGGCCGGGTGACAGAGCGGAGCGCTCCGGAGGCGGAGAGGAGGAGGTGAATGGGCAGCGTCGGGCCGGGCCCAGGGGTCCGGAGGGGGGG